TTCTCTTCTCTCTCTCTCTCTCCACTGCATTATTGCTTTATTTGGATAAATAAACAAGAATTTTATTAGGATTAATTATTGGCAAGGGGCCGTCACTCGGTGTGACGGTAAAATGCTCGGGTAGCCAGCGCAAGAGCGTGTGTTCGAATTCTTATAGCGGCCGCTTTGTACATGAGCCAAAGGTTAGGACCGTTTCTAGCTCCCCCCTCCTAAGACCCTACTTAGGTGGGACCAGCACCCCGTTATGACCCTTTTTATTAATTATTGGCAGAAACTAAAATAAGTTTGAAAACAATAGAATTTGGATTTATGTGCGTGTGTGTTTCTTCGTTTGGCAGATGAAGGACGTGCTCAAGAGAAAGCCTTCTCTAACTCAGCTGACCGGTATACGAGAGTCACGCCTCAACTCTTTTGCAACGTATCTCCGAACCTCTTTAATCAATTCAACCGACACAAACCCAATTTCACCTACAAGCTCCACTTTGACTGGGCCTGTCTCTATAGATCAATGCACCATCCAAACTTTCTCTACCTACTTTTCTCTCATCTCTCAAGTGGTCTAGTTTTTATTTACTCAATGCCATAACCACTAAACCAGTAGTTTTCATTTTTTATGCAGTTTTTTAATCTTCACCCTTGCTTCAAATTGGTACTGCTGACCTAACCCCTTCCACAATCGAAAAAGAAAAAAGAAAAAAAAAATAAACAAAGAAAAGAAAAAGAAAAAAGAACAAAAAAAATAACAAAAGAAAAGGAAAATACATTATGGCTTGACCTATCAATGCCATACCATTGAGTAAAAGATTAGGATCTCCCCCAAGCTTTTTGTTGATTATCATTAAATATATCTTTTTTTTGGGGGGATCTAGTAAGGGTGATGACTTTAAATTTTCCTTTAACCCACCCTGTGCCCAGGAAAAAGATTGGGTTGTGTTAGTAAGGTAGCCAAAAAACTTTGTTAAAAATTATCATGAATCCTGATCTTATAGTGCAGAATGACATCAAAATTCGTGTAGCTGATTCCAATTAATTGAGAAAAATGTTTGACGATGATAATATCTCATTTTTAAGTTAAATATTATCATTAAATATATCAATTATAATAAAGGATTGTGTAATGAGACCATTTACTTTTGATACAAGGAGGTCACAATTATTTACAACAATCTTATATGAAATTTGATAGCATGGGCGTATTACAAAGTTCGAAAAAATTACTTTCGAATTTTGAGTTTGGTCAATAGAATAAAAGTAGCCATTCAATTTCACATCCAAAGGTCAAGATCAGTTGTGACTATTGTAAAGATAAATGGTCTCCTTATGTCCTAAAGATAAATGTCTCAAGAAAATGGAAAACACGGACTGTACGTCCTACCAGATGGCACATAAAAATGGTCTCAATAAAATTGTTGCGAATGTTGCTTTCATATTTGTCTGTATGGCCTGGAATACACTTGACATGCATCATGCTCAGGTCCTCCAAAAGATATTTTCCAAGACCATTTCTTCACATTAATAAAATTCAACAACAGTTAACTTCCCTACCAAGTGGATACATTAATATAATGGAAAAAGTTTATATAAGGGTTAGGCCCTAAATAATCAAATTAAGATGCACCTTAAAAATTCATTAGAGAATATTGTTTCAATGTTGGAAAACCCTCGATTTGATCATCTCGACCTCAAGAGTCAAGATATATGAGCATAAGAAAAAATAAATTTCAAGTATTAACAATAGTGCATGCTGTAATGTATTATCTAGACCGTCAATTTTCAAGATGTTCAAGTTTTCATAGATCTGTTCGGTCTACACTATTTTTGAATTTTAAATTTTATAATTAGAGATGAAAATAACTTTTTATATCATCATAAAGATTTCTGATCCTGAAACAATATATTTTGACAACATTTGAAGGTGCGCCTTATTTTGATTGTTTAGGCCTTGGGCCTTATACAAATCACACCCTTAATATCTTATGTTTGGGCAATGATTGCATGTAATGGTTGTATAGTAATATGATGCAACAACCTTTAAAAACCATGTTATGGTCATTTGTTTGATCCAAAATTTGAAATATGCACTCTTTTCATTCTAATGAACAATAACAAAAAAGAAAAAATTGTAAACACAACTTAGAAAGTATCTTTTTAGCCCAATTAACATAGGTCGTTCATTTTGGTGAGATTGTTTAGATCTAGGCCTTATAAGTATTTTTTCATTTCCAATTTTTTTGGATGGATTTATTACCATTAGATGAACAATGTGAAAAAAGAAAAAAATGATTTTGACTTCATAAAGGTTAAGATCTTGAAATTCACCAAATGAATCGTCTAGATTTTTTTTTGGAGGAGACTTATTTTGACCATATCGAACTCCTTTTTTTTTTTTGGGATTGATTATTGTGATGAAGAGAGGGTGTGTGTAAAATTTTAGGTTCATATAAATACCACAAACATGATTTTCTGAAAGTGTCGTAGCATTATTCTATGATACAACCATTGTATAAAATTTTGGGTCATATAAATACCATAAACAAAGTCATATAAATACCACAAACAAACATTTCTACTATGTTTCTTTTGGTTTAATTAACTATGTGAATTGGGTTGGTTGCTTAAATCTCATCCAATGAAATGTTTGGTCCTTGCTTCCCCAATCTCCAATATGTTAAGAAACAACAGTTAACTTTTCTACTAGTTTCTCTATATAAGGATACACTTGTTTTGGATTTGGAAACAACTTCTCAATCTTCTAAAAATGGATATATAATTATGGATACAACTTGTCCCCCCCTCAATTCTCACTTCCTTTTCTTTCTCATTCAAGCAAGGAGAAAGAGATATATGAGAGAAAAGGTGGGTCTCTTTGTCCCAAAACAAACCAAGTGTGAGCCATAAGAATGTAAAATTTCACATGGTCATGGGGTCATGAGACTTTAGTGAAAAATACCTTTTCACCCTTAACGGTCGCCTTCAAATGACAAGATATAATAACTAAGTCAAAAGATTTCATGCTCCTGTTCTTGGAGGATACTGTCTATTTACTCCCTCTGATAAAACCCAATTTAGGAGTAAGTTTAGGACCTCAAATTTTTGGAATGTAACTTCTTCAAACCGTAGAGTAACCTCAATAAAAAAAAGAAAAAAAAAAATGCAAATTGCACTTTTTGTGTACTTAAAAAAATAGTGTATGAGAACAGAGATTGTCCAATTATTGGAGAGTAAGGTTTAAGGGTCCAAAAATTTAAAATGAAAATTTTTTATTTTGAAAATAATCATCTAGTGACTCTTAGGTGATTCTCAAAGTTTTATATTGAAAAAATATCCCAAATAGGTCTTCTCATCATGGTAATTGGTGTATTAGTATGCTCTTGCAGGAGCAAAGTATACATGCTCATGACTAAGGAAAATTGTTTCATGCGAGTTGGACCGCATTTCTACATATGCGGTCCAGAAAGTGTAAAGCATCCATCTAAAAGATGGATGTAAGTAGCTATTCCATCTAAAAACAATGAAAATTAACTGTCCAAATGTTTTCTTACTAGAATTATTATTTCTAGTTTTTAAAATTTATTTATTTATTCATATTCATGATCTCCATGATAGAGATTACATATCCTTAAAAATTAAGTCTTAAAATCCATCACAAAAATAGATTTACTAAGAGGCCCACATTTCTACATATAGGGGCTTGGCCGCATAGAAACCGGTCCCATAATTAAAAAGAAAGCATATAATAAGACAATTTATCAACAAGCCGGGCTGCTTGGTCCTGTTCCCTTGAGGCCGGCCAAATAGGGCTTGGTCCAAGCTTGGCCTAACCCTATCAAGGCTGGGTTGAATACAACTAAAAAAAAATAAACCGGAAAAGATAAATAAATAAGGTCGAGCCGAACCAGGCTAGCCCTATCTTGGCTGAGCCTCTAGCCCAGGCCCTAGTCTTTTAGGGCCAGGCCCGACCAGGCCACCCGACGCATTGCTACCCCTATATATATCTATGATACAAGAATGCACAATCACCCTAGACATCGATGTGAAAGTGATAGGCTGGGTGTTCAATTGACTCTGCACAAAGTTTATTTATTTATTTATTTTTCTCGTAGTTTATGCAAAGAAATAACACACCCCCAACTACTCGATGTCATATGTGATAACTAGTGGGTGATTGTGATTTTTTTTTTAACCAAAAATAAACCTAGAAAGTAAATGAGCTTGATACAATCCCATAAAATCAATAACATCCTCACCAATCCCTTTTTGCTATATTTGAACAAATTTGTTTGTTTTTGGCTCTAAGAACATGACCTATCCTGTTCATTCCCATGTCCTATCCTAATTCATGCTATAAGTAAAGAAAAAGAGAAAGGACACTTTCCTTTAAGAACATGACCTACCCTATTCATTCCAATGTCCTGTCCTAATTCCTGCTATAGGTAAAGAAAAAGAGAAAAAAAATATATATATATAATAAAAGAAAATATTTGAGTACATAAAGCAATAGGAGAGCACATTTTTTAACTATATTTTTTAAAAATATATATAATAAGACCATTTACTTTTGGCACAAAGCTTCAAATATCATCGATCTTAAGATATGAAATCAATTAGATGAGGATGTGTCATTGACTCAACACAAAGTCCAAAATCAAATTTCTCGATGTCGGTTTTATACCCAATTGCTAAAAATAATTGTGAACTCCTTACCAAAATTGAATGGTAATGAAATATAGAGTCCCTTTTTTTTGTTCATAAACAATTATTGTAATTAAAGGCTAGGTTTTCGCATCCTTAACCATGGCTTAAAATATGTAAAATACAGCGTTAATCTTTTATTGGCTGTTTGTTAGAAGGATATAGTTTCTATAAGGCCTACGCTTTATGAAAAAAAGGTTAATCTTGGTCTCGAATTCTCATCCGAAAAGCACATTTGGAATCGAAAATAGGCAGTCTAAATAATGATACTCTCAACCAATCCCCTGAAAAGCTTCAAATAATCAATCTAGGGCAACTCTCACGAATCACCATTAATCTCCACAGGTGCGGCTACACTCTCTAAAAGAATGAAACCAACAAGAATCTCTCACTACAATCTCTCTCATAAGTCACCAGTAGTCTCCACATGTGCAGCTTCCCTCTCTAAAATGATGAAACCGGCTCGCATCTCTTACTACAATCTCTCTCATGGTGATCTTAGAGATAAGCTTGATCGCAACATGGCAATCGATACATACTCTCAGGTTCTTCATAACCCTGATAACACACCCTTGAGGTGAATTCATGAGGCCAAACGCAACAGCAAGCTTCTCACTATGATGAGCTAAAGAATCCTCCTTCTCTTCCTCACCCATGTCATGGAGCACAGAGCTTGTATCAGGCTCATACCCATGTTCTTTGATCTCCACTATGAGTTTCTTCAAAAACCTGTGAATCTCTCTCCATTGCGGGTGTGATTTATCTCCCATCCAAAACTTATAAACCTGGTTTTTCACCTCAATCCAGCTAATTCCAGGCTCTTTTTTCACCTTGGAGTCTCTCATGGCTTTTCTCACTCTAGTAACATCCTCCCATCTCTTAGATGCCGCATGTATATTTGAGATTAAAACATAAGGTGCAGAGTCATTGGGTTCCATTAATAGAAGGTCCTCTGCAACTCTCTTTGCGACCTCTGCATCCCCATGAATTTTGCAGGATGAAAGCAAAGTCTTCAAAATAACGGGGTCTGGTTTGAATGGCATTGATTTGATCAGAGATTCAGCTTCTTTTAAGAAACCCAACCTTCCTAGAAGATCAACCATACAAGTGTAGTGCTCCAATTTTGGCTCCAACCCATGCTTCTCACTCATAAGCCTGAAATACTCCAAGCCCTGGTCCTTGAGCCCACTGTGGCTGCAAGCAAAAAACAAACCAAGAAAGGTAATCTCATTGGGCTCGATCCCTTCTCTGACCATCTTCTCAAAGAGGTAAATGGCCTCTCTTCCATATCCATGAAACCCATAAGCTGCAATCATGGAGCTCCAAAGAACAGTATCCATTTCGTTTGCAACCTCTATAAAACACTGGTAAGAATCAGCCAAACACCCACACTTTGAATACATGCTAACCAGGGAGCTCCTCACAGAGAGAGCCAAGTCTACCCCAGCTTTAGTGGCTTGGCAATGAGCTTGCTGGCCTTGCCCAAGAGTTGCTAGCTCTGCACAAGAGCTTATAACACTCACAAAAGTGACCCTATCAGGCATCAGGCCCGAAGCTTTCATCATTTTGAAGTAGTCTAAGGCCCTATCAGACTGCCCATTTTGAGCTTGACCTGCAATTATAGTGTTACAAGAGACCACATTATGGATAGGCATGGCTCTAAACACTCTTTCTCCTTCATCTAAGACCCCACATTTCATGTACATGTGAGAAAGAGAAGAACCCACAAATAGATTGGATTGAAACCCGAGCTTTACTGTGTTTCCATGGATTTGTTGCCCAAGTTTCAGAGCTCTTATGCCTGAGCATCCCTTTAAAGCACTTCCTAGAGTGAACTGGTCTGGGATTAAGCCTGAATTTCTCATTTCTGAGAAGTAATGAAGGCCATTCTCATGGAATCCATGTTGAGTTAATCCTGAAATCACCGCATTCCACGAAGCAAGGTTTTTCTCAGGCATTTTGTCGAAAAGTTTTAGAGAGAGACAGAGTTCTCCTTTCTGTGAAAACCCATTGATTAATATATTGAAAGACATGGTGTTCGGGCTTCCCATTCTCTCAAATACTTGGAGTGCAAAGTCTAAGCTTTGGCATTTTGTATACATATTCAGAAGGTGGTTGCAGAGAAATCGATCCGAAGAGAGCCCACCTGTTACTATAATGGAGTGGAGCTGTTTTCCTAAAGCAATGGACTGTAATGGTACACATCCTTGAAGGAGGAGAGAGAAAGAAGTTGGATTTTTTTGGAGAGAGAAAATTGTTTGGTCGGACCCGGTTTTAGGTTGGAATTTTGAGAGGGCCTCCTTGAGCTGGCCTTCTGAACAGAGGGTGATGAAATCTAGTCTAAATTTGGTGGGGTTTTTGGAAGAGGTAGAGAGAGAATGGAGGAAGGCTTTTAGAGAATGGGTCCTGGTTTTGTTGAGGATGCTGCAATTATACATGGCTGGATTGTGGTAGGAGGTGAGAGAAACTTGCCCAAGAACTATAGGAGCTCAAGAACATGGTCATTTTGAACGACTGGTTCTTTCCACATTAGCTTGTTTCATGTGGGGCTATCTGTAGTAATAAAATGGCGGATGAAGAGATGGAATAAATATTTTTATGAAAAGCAACAGATTCCTTCCTTTTTTCTAACAGTGGCTCTAACGAATAACTATGGATCTTGAACGAATCCTTGAAGAAAATGGCCGAGATGCGCAGAAGGTTGCAACCTTGAGGCACGTCTCTAAATTTTATCATGAATGTAATTTTTATATAAAAGAATTCTTCAATTTTAAGGAAAATTACTTAAATAACCGTTTTAGTTTATATTATTATCAAAATACCAAATACTTTTTGCCAATGGTTTAAAAAACGGATCGGTGACTCGGATCGGGTACCTCAAAAACAGATCCGGATCGATGAATCGACAATCCGGATCTAGAATCGACTGAATCGATCGGATTAAAGCTTCAAAAAAATCCGAAAAATTTATTAAAATTCATTATAAACGTTGTTTTTTAGGAATCCAATAAAAAATGAGAGTACTACATTATTAACTTTCATTTTTTTTATCAATTTGTGAATATTGAGATGTTCTTTCCCTGTATAAATTTATTTTAACTATTAAATTTGCATCACATAAATGAAAAATCATAGAATTATCATGGATAAAATATATAATTATATATGGACTATTATAAAGAGTAGACTAATCAATGAAAGAATGATCATTAAAATATCGTTTTGGCGAAAAACCCTAGCTCGCTAAAAAAACCCAAACTATTACAGCCTAACTAAATATAATCCAAAATTATTACAACCTCACTAATAATAATATTATATACTGAAATTATAATTATTAGTTTACATTTTATAATTATTTTATTAGACAAATAAAAACAAATTACAAATATTTTATAATATTATCTAATTTAAAATGTATTATTGACAACTGTAAAAAAAATAGAATATTACATGATTTATAATGTAAAAATTCATAAATAAAATAAAAGATTTGGTTATCAATGTAAAAATTAATAAAATACGTACAATTTTTGGAAATAACACTTCAATTTTTCAAAAATTTATTTTTTTAGGTTTCTATAATAAATTTAGTAAAAGAGATTGTTAGTAGAAAGATGGAGATTTCAAATAGAATAAACTTTTTATTTTTATTTTTTTTATACCTTTCATATTATTTACAAAAATAATTATACCACTATATACAACAAAAATTAATTGTTATATAAAAAATTAATTTTTTTATTTTTCCATTTTTTTATGTCTTTTATATTATTTACAAAAATATTTATATTTATATTTATACCAACCACTTTATACACAACAAAAATATTTATATTTATACCAACCACTATATATATAACAAAAATGCAACATATGCCCAAGGGGATTTGAAAACAACAAAAATATTTATACCAACCACTATAATACACAACAAAAATGCAACACATGCCCAAGGGGATTCGACCTTGGGACATCAAGTAAAAAATTTAAAGTCACAGCCATCAAGCCATCTAACTACATGTAATTATAAATTGCTGATTAATAGACTATATTTACATTTCGTTTTCATTTAATGATGTTTGGGAATTATCCCACATCGAAAGATGGGTATTCAAATTTGGTATATAAATACCTATGCAATATGAATTATAAAATGTGTATAAAAATTTTAGGGCAACCTCGCATGTGCGTTTGGACACATGTGTGCGCGTGTGAGTGTGCGTGGGGCACGCTCGCACGTGCACTCGGACACACGTGTGCATGTGTGAGTGTACGTGGGGCAAGTTCGTACGTGCGCTCGGACGCACGTGTGCACGTGTGAGTGTGCGTGGGGCACGCTCTCACGTGCGTGTCATGTGTTACGTGTGTGAATCGGGCTGAACCGGATGGGAACCGGCGGCTCCACTCTAAAACCGAGCTGAACCGGATGGGAACAAGCGGTTCCACTCTAGAATCGGGCGGTTCTCGGTTTTCGGTTGGAACCGGCACGGGCACGCGTGTTTTAGAGTCGAACTGGGCGAGTCCGGTTCGACTCGCCGCTTTTTAAAACACTGCTTTTTGGTATTCGAGATATGTCCGTTTTTTTTACTTCATTTATGATAAAATTGTATTTATGATAAAATTTAGGGAAAATTATGTACGTTTTAGTTTTTGTTTTTTAAAAAAGACGAAACTACTCATTTTCGGTTTTTCAAAAATCAAAACCAAGCCACTTTCAGTTTTTGAGAAACCAAAAATTTAAAATTTTCGGTTATTCAAGAACCTATTTTTTTTCTATCTCTTCTCTCTACTCTTGCTTTTTGTTACATCGCATGATCTCTACTCTTTTTTAGTCATTATAAAGAGTTTGTAGCTAGTGATCGAGATTCTTGTTAGTATTTGGTTGAAAGCATTTGCGATTCTCCTAGTAGATAATATTTTAATGGCGAGGTTTGTCCTCTACGCCAAATAATGAGAGATTTCAGCAACTTTGAAAGTTCGATTTCAATTCTTTTTCTGTGATTTCCAAGATATGAGATGTAGGGCTTTAAAACTTACCGTAAATTATGCAATGTCGATCAAGTAATGCAGTTTAAATGATCAACCAAGAGATCTCTGCAACTTTAAAAGCTTCATCTTTGATGCATTCTTTCTAAAATTTTCATGATCAGAGAATCCGTGACCTAGCAAATGCATGACCTCCCCAATTTCATGTACTCTTTCTTCTTCAATTTCCATGGTCAGCGAATCAGAGTTTTCTGTCACCAAAAAAAGAAAAAAAGGGTTCACCATTTCTGATGTATTTCTACAATTTCTATGACCAAAAGTACCCGGGTGGGGCTAGCAGAGGCAGAGAAAAAGAAGGGATGGAGAGAGGAAGGCGTGCTTGTGTAGGGGGAGGGATGGAGAGAGGAACGCGTGCTTGTGTAGGGGGGTGGAGCTTGATGCTCGTGGTTCAAAGGTAAAATAATCCATTTGTGTATTTTCTCTTTCTAGACTCTGAACTAAAAATTTTAAATTTTCGGTTCTTGAAGAACCCGGTAGTTTCATCTTTTTTTAAAAAAATTGTTATGAAGATTAAAAAACAGACACATCAATAATAACGGAAAGTATTAAGTATTTTCATAATAACAGAAACTAAAATGAATATTTATGTAAGTTTTCCTAAATTTTATCATAAATATATTTTTTATAAAAAAAATTCTTAGGATGGCTTGCAAATCTATTTCATTTTCTAGAAACTGTAAAAAATGATTCAAATCAAGTAGATCTATAAACACATTAAAATGGACGGTCCAGATAATGTGCTGTAAGATATACTATTTCACGGACTCGAAATTTTTTTTTCTTTTCATATTTATACATATCGATGTTGTGATGATTAATTAGAGGATTGTCTAACACCCAACAAAACCTTTTCATGATGGATTTTTTATGTGCATCTTTAATTATACTTTTAATGTTGCAACCTTATATAAACTTTTTTCCTAAAACAATGTTTTGTAGATGAAAACATTGCTCAGGTGTGGTGATAAAGACATTAGTTATGGGGCATTTGGGAAAAATAATAAATAAAAAAAGGGAAAAATTATTTAAGTAAATATAAAACATCATTCGGGGAATTATTATTATTTTTTTAGTTTTGCTATTTACCGTGGATATTAGCATGAATTTCAAAAAAGTAATCTACACCCATGTCCTTCAACTAAAGTAAATTTATTATAAAAATTCCCGAAATTTTTTATGTTCATACCCTTTTTCCTATTTTTATTTTTCCAAAAAATGCCCAACTTTGAGGTTCGAAGTGACAACAAATTCAGATCGATGTTTCAAGCAACTTTTTCTACAATGACTTTACACCTTCATGGTTAAAAATCAAGTATTATTTTAATGACTTCGGAACCTCAAGGTCTAAAGTCAAATCTCTTGTCTGACTTCAGAGTCTCATGGTCCAAAATCAAGTATTGTCGAAATGACTTTGGATCTTCAAGGTTTGTAAATCCTTTGGCTTTTAGACCTTGAAAGTTCGAAGTCAACATTTTTTTATTTTTTTCTTCTTTTTTTTCTGTACTTCAGTCAAATGGCTTCAAACCTTGAACATCAGAATCCAAGACTTTGAGTTTTATATTCTGGATGTTCAAAATAAGAAGCTCAGTATTGTCTTCTCACTTCTGACATTTAAGGTCTCAAGTAAGTGTACTTTGAACAAAGAAAAAAAAAAAAATAGTGTGGACGTAAAAAAAGAAAGTATTAAAATAAACTTAAAAGTTCTAAAATTTAACAAGTTTGCCAAGTATGGGTAATTTGGAATCCTTTTACCTGTTTTTTATTTTTTTTATATCCATACATATTTTATTGGGGATGAAATATAAATTTGAGGGTTTTCAACATTGAAACAACCCTTTCTAGCAATTTTTTGAAGTATATCTTACTTCAACAGTATAAGGTTGATACCTTATATATGCTGCTCCTACATGAATACATTATCCACTTACTCCATTGGGTAAAACCTATTCAACCCATGGATTAGCCTCAATTAAAAAAATCTAATTGTAATCTATATGCACTTGAAAAGAATAATATCTTGAGATTGAATAGAAGCCAAACTAATTTCAAATTGTGAGATCTAAGTGTTTGAGAACTTAAATTTTTATTTTTTAAGAGAATAATCAGCTAGTAATTCTTAAGCGATTCCCAAAATTTTAAGTTAAAAAATCCTCCCAAGTAAGTCTTTTGACTAAGGCCAAGGAAGCATGGTATACATGCTCTACACTTTTTGCTTCAACTATTCCAACTCATGATCATTGATTTGAAATTAAATCAAATCACATCGATAAAATATTACATAGTTGGTTATTTATATGGAAAAGGTTTATATAAGAGCGATGCTCTAAACAATCATATTAAGGAACACCTCAAAAACTCACTAAAAAAAGTTGTTTCGATGGCCAAAAATCCTCAAATTGATCATCTCAACCTTAAGATGTACAAACATGATAAAAAGGGATTTCAAGTCTTCGAAAAAAGTGCATCTTGTAATGTATTTTTGGACCTTCAATTTTTAAGTTTCTCAAGTGTTCATAGATCTGCTCCATTTATAATAGGGTACAGTTTGTATAGAGTTGAAGCTCTAAACAATCAAAGTAAAGCACACCTTCAAATAATATCGAGACATGTGGTTTCCATACTAAAAATCTTCGTGATAGCCTTTAAATAAATTTTCA